CCGATGTGGCGCGTCGCTAAGAGGGTTACGCCCCAACGAAAATCTTTTGGATTTCATCTCCATAAGAGTGGCTGAGTTTTTACGTTGCACAACGGAGAGAAAATTGTTATCAGCGTGGTACCCGGTAATATTGCTATGGGTTTCCTGTGCCACATGTAAATGGAAATTTGATATGCAAATAACATTCAGAGATTAACGGTGTGGTCGTGCTAGGGCTTGTTTCAATAGTACATATCTGTAACAAAGAGTTTGAGATGTCGGATGACATTAAGCATCACTGAAAAATTATATGATATATTTGGTTTCTGTTCAAGTATGCATGCACATTTATGAGCAAGATGATTTTGTCGTGTCAGCTCCAGTAAGGTTTTTGCTGGACTAGTTTGAACTCTCATGTGTGCAAGTGGATGCCATTCGATTCTGTGTGCTGTATGCAATTTTGTGTTACACTGTTAGAATTCCTGTAGCGGATTGGTGCGGTTGTCATAAAAGTGTATTTTACATCATTATGTGGTGTGATGTGATATTTGGGACAAATGAAAATGTGAACTCAAGGAAGGAAAGATTATGCACCTAACGTCCAGACTCAATCTTTGCCCTAAACATTATCCTTTTCATTTTAACTGAAGTCACACTTCTCGCAGCCTCGCTTCACTGCAACTGTTGAACCTTGACTGTTAGACAATCTTTAAGCTCGTAATGTTATTCTAACTTTATTGGCACCTTTTTCTGGGAATACAGTGACAACACAGTCCAATTTAAGAAAAGGAGCACACCTTTCACACTGAAACTTATTTGCCATTCTTTTGAGCTACTACAGATGTAGGCTCTCATGGCTGGTCCCTTGTTTTTTATCACTGTCAATTTGTGTAGTATTATATATTTTGCACATTCAAGATGTGATTGTAACAGACATAGTTGTTATATTTGTGATCAAGCAGTTGCTCCTCTTTGTATGCAACTTTGCTTATGCTTGTACATTTCTATTTAGGCTATAAAGTGGTCATGCTATGCTCGTTCCATCATTAGTGGATCCCTTGGAATTTCTGTTATAGATGTCTCAGACTATAATTTCCTTCCTTTTTGCTTTACAAAAGGCAGCATATCACTGAAAAGCCCTAGTGCGTCATTTTTCATTTATAAAGCGGTGGAAAATGTACATTGGTGCATATGTAATATGGTCCTTGAGAAGGTTAACTTCATCTTTGGCAACAATGGCCATATATGGAAGCACAGGCTGCATGCTATTTAAAATCTTGCTTCATGATATTAGAGTTGGTACAAAAAAAACCCTGAGATTTGGTTAGTAAACAAGAACAAGTCCAATGTTGCTTGGACATGGACATGCTATCTTCTCCGTTCCGTGCTTTGCAAATCTCATCTTGTCATGGTGAAATGACATTCACAATCCCTGGGTTGGCATATGCTGCTGGAGAATTATTTGGTCAAATAATTGTTATATGCATCACAAGAGGCATGTGTAATTGCTAGAGTTCAGCAATAAAGCAATCCTGCAGATGGTTCTTCGATAATATTATCACCTGAAGCATCTGTTAGTGGTAAGGACCTTGGTGTATGGCTTGTTTGTTTTTCTTTAATATGTTGCTATTTGGTTGGATCTTGACATTTTTTGTTGATATGACTTGTATTGTCTAAAAAAACGACCTTATTTTTCATTGACACGGTTCCACTAATCAATGGTTTGTCCAGCTCTCTTAATAGTGTTCATTTCTGTTTGTGTTATCCATCTATATTAATTATTTTTGTAATACAGGCTTCGGAGTTCTCTTTGGCTTCAGTTCAAACCTCATCATATTGCGGCTGGAGCTGCATTCCTTGCTGGAAAATTCCTCCGCTATGACATTACCTTTCACCAAAATTTCTGGCATGAGTTCAAAACGACACCGCATACTGTTCAAGGTAACTTGTCCTCTCTAGTTGCAGTGTGAGCATATTTTATCTTTGGATTGACAACACTAATCTGTTGCAATTGCAGATGTTGTCCAACAGTTGAAGGAGCTACTTTAGAATCGTAGATTCCATATGCTTGCTTTTTATACCAACATATCCTTTTACATGGTTTAGTGGCCACTTTTATACAAATATGTATACCTGGATATGGTGGCAACACGTCTTGAACTACTGGACAGCATTGATAGTTTGAAAATATACTCAATTGTTTTTCATTTTATTTCTACGACTAAAGAGTGTTGCCATGTTCAAAAAGGACAAAAGTTGTCATGTCTGTTATCATTTCCCTTTTCTGTAAAGTAGTGTGCTATATGTGGACGTATGCAAGTTTTCTTTTTGAGCGTGATACACATTTAACGAGTTTCATCTGATGTATTTCCAAAACCAATTAACCACCCTTTGAGCAATTTGAAAGAAGTATTTTTAAGCTGTTCAGCCCAGCGATCAAGAACTCTTAAGAGCACTATCAATTAACCACCCTTTGAGGAATAGTTCAACTCTGTATTTCATGAGAAAAATCATTAGTCCTTCAAAATTCTGTTACAGGTTGTTTGGCACCCATCATTTTAGCCAGAATTGGTGGAATTCAATTGTGAATTCTGACACGTTTGGCTGCCCCGGAATTGGGCATCGGAATTCATTTCTCAATTCCATATGTCTGAAACGTTATGTAAACCAAATCCTGACTTGGAAGCCGTCATTCGCCAAATCCTCTCGCCCCTGACGCCCTCGTCTCCTTCGACCATTCCCGCCCACGAGATCTGTTGCTGCCGCCCAGTCAAGAGGAGCCGGGCCGCTGGAGTCCATCTCCACCAGCAGTGCATCCTTGAATCCATCCAGGCCAAGGGACCCCATCGAGCTCATATCCCCAACGCCCTGACGTACCTCGTCGTCCAAGACCAGTGGCGTCTTCCCCTCAATCATGCCCTTTGCTGAACGCCCCTGTCGGCGACTCCTCATCCGTTCTCCCTTAATTCCTCATCGCTATACCGTCTCCAGTTGCTGTCTCCACTCCCTTCTTCAATCTTCTGCTTGGAGGTATGAGCAATCTTCGGCTTGGTGGTATGAGTCGGCTTGAATGGCCTTTCATGGCCATTGGTTCGACAGCCATATGTTAGTACTAGTAGTGTAATACATTAGTTGGTTTCTTAATTAGTGTCAGTGCGCATGGGCATTGCTGATTGATAAAATTATCTTTGCTCTTGTTTATCTGATGACGAAGGCATGGAATGTAGGTGTGAATATTTCAGTTCTTCGAAACTGAATCCAGACATCTACTGTTTTCTGATTATTGCAAGAAAGCATGTGCTAGTTAATTATCTAGTTCTCTGAAACTTAAAGTGTGCTAAGATTCCAGTGATGTGCAGGCTTGTACGCAAAATCAAGTGAGATTTTTTTTTCCTTTCATTCATACTTTTTATTAACACCAGACCACAAGTGTCCCGTTAGAATACGTAATGGGCCTAATGGCCTGGGCTGCCGGTATAGCCCGTTAGCTTTAGGGTTAATTAGAGATAAGAGTCGCTTGCTTAGGGATCAAGTAAGCTTTATTTGAAAGTTAAGTAAATCTCTCTATATAAAAAGGGGAGATGTATCAATCTAATCAAGCAAGAATTAAAAAAGAAATCCCTTCCATCTTGCCCGGCCGTGGGCAAAAGGCCCCCAGCCGGCCCTCTCATGCCTTCCTTCCACCAGCGCCATAACAATTTGGTATCAGCTAGCTTCGGTTCGATCATGTCTTCACCGCCGCCCAACCTGTCTCTTTCGCTGCCGGTCACCTCATCGCCTCCGGCGACCACCACGACCGTCGCCCCGCTCCTGCCCGCGTTGGGATCCTCCGTCGCGCCCACTCCCGCCGTCCTCACCTCGGAGGTGTCCTGGGCCCTGCGGGACCTAATCCAGACGATTCAGGAAATCCGCATGTTCTTGGTCGGGTCCTACGGGCCGCACCCGGCTGCGCCGCCCATCATCGCCACTGCGCCGCCGTGGTAGCCGCTGCATCAGGCGGCCTCCGCCGCGCTCGCCGGGCCACCGCAGCAGCTGCCATCCACCATCCCGCCCTGCCTGCAGTGGCAGCCACCGCTCCTGGCGGCCTCCGTCGCGCCCGGCGCTCCGCCGCAGTAGCCGCTGCCCCAGGGCGTCCCTGCCGCGCTCGCCGGGCCGCTGCAGCAGCCACTGCAGCTGCCATCCACCGCCACCACCATCCCGCCCTGGCTACAGTGGCAGCCGCCGCTCCTAGCGGCCTCCGTCGCACCCGGTGCTCTGCTGCTGCAGCCATCGCCGGTCAGCTCCGGCCCCGCATCGACCGCGCCGGCGGGAGTCCCGATCCACCAGATCAAGTTCCCGCCGTCGCCAGTACCGCTTCCCCAGGGCGTTCCCATCCAGCAGATCAAGTTCCCACCATCGCCGTCACCGCTTCTGGCTTGGATCACTACCCGCTACGTGTCGGTGGCGGCGAGGCTGCAGGCTGCTGCGCGCGGCCTCCTAGCGCGTTGGCCTGTGCGGGAGAAGTGTGGTCTGCAGCTGCCGCTCCTCCCAGTTGCGCTTCGCTGCGCTTCACTGCACAAAGGACCTCGATCTCGTCCGCTGCGTCGGGGATCTTGGGCATGCTTTTTTCCCCGCGGGCAGCGACCTCAAAGTCTGCGACATCGGTGGTTGGGGGGCACCCCTCCTCGTCATTCTCCATCGCAAGCCCTCTACTCTTCTTTGTGCGGTGCAGACCAACGGCCGTCCGGTGGGGAGAAGGCAGGGTCTCACTGACAGGAGCGCACCGCGTAGCATCACTGCATTCCGCTGGCCGCCGCGAGGGCGCCTCCGCTAGTCGCTCTTGCGACCACTTCCAGGCGGCCATACACATGCACTCCTTTTGTCTAGATGGTGTCCATGGGATTCAGGTGGCCGTACACGTGCACGTCCGACGTGCGGATGGTGTCCACTTTTTGTTAAGGGGTCCAAAATAAATTGTTTCAATCCATTTTTGGTTGAGAGTAATAAAACAAGCCGAGATGTAAAAGGCTTGTTTTTAGGTGTTAGGTCTGTGTTGCGTCGAGTCATGGTTATAAGTTGGTTAGGCTGCAGCTCGAGGACAAGCTGCATGTCCAGGTAGGGTGTAGTGTTAGAGTACGTAATGGGCCTAATGGCCTGGGCTGGCGGTATAGCCCGTTAGTCTTAGGGTTAATTAGAGATAAGGGTCGCTTGCTTAAGGGTCAAGTAGTCTTTTTTGGGAGTCAAGTAAACCTCTCTATATAAAGAAAGGAGATATATCAATCTAATCAAGTAAGAATTAAAAAGGAAATCCCTTCCATCTTGCCCGGCCGTGGGCAAAAGGCCCCCGACCTGCCCTCTCGCGTCCTCCTTGTCCCCTCTGAAAATGATGTGTCCTTGTGATACCCCAACATTTTCTTCAGAAATTTGTAGTCACAAGTCTAGAGCGTGTGCACAACTTATAAGCTACCAGTGTAGAGCTTGTGCGCAATATTTTCTCCTTTTGTTTTTTATGTGTAATGGCATGCTTTAGTTTAATGCAACACATTGTTGCATGTGGGAACAGTAGACGTTCAGTGTTATATACTTGCTTATTTTGGTGTTCGTAAGTATTTCAACTAAAAATCCTAGTGCCAACCAAACATAAAATTTGGATTTGGAATCAGGATTCAACCAAATGAAATCTGGATGTAGATTTCATTTCATTTCTACCAATGAAATGATATCTAGGGAGCCAAACGAGCTGTTAGATATTTTGAAGGTCCGTGCCTTTTTTAATTATGTAAAGCTACACTATTATTTCCTAAATGGTAGACAAGTGCGTGCGCATGATTCTGGCTTTTCGTGTGGCCGTGTGTGGACTACGTTTCTCTGATGAGGGCCATCCAGAGGAAGAGCGCCCATGCAGAACACAACATCTCCCGTGGACTGTATTATTTCCTAAATGGTAGACAGTGCATACACATGATTCTGGCTTTTTGTGCCGCCGTGCGTGGACTAAGTTTCTCTTATGAGGGCCATCCAGAGAAAGAGTGCCCATGAAGAACACAACATCTCCCGTGGAAAGTATTCATCAGAACGTTGTTTGGGTAGGCCTCACGATGACGAGATGCATGGTGGGCGAAGCCCCTCTGTGCGCCGTTGTATGTTGTTCGTGAATATACACTAGAGGTTGGGGCGCCATGGTGGCGCCACCTGAGGCGGGCCTGTGCGCACTAGTCTTGTGTCGGCACATTCGGCTGCTATGTTTGGTCCCCAGTCTTATTCATGTACCTCAATATGAGCGTATGCTATAACATCAAGATCTATTAGTAGCACATCCATCAAACATACAAATACTATATTACAACTCACCCATGAAGCATAAACAGGTGAGATGATGCATTACAATTAATCCAAAAGCAAAGACAAGCTTACATGAAGTGCTTCAGTTTGGCTGAAGAAAGGGACCTCATCAGGCCACGACCAAGGAACCAAATGAAAAGCGTCTACACACATCAGGGTGGCTACTTGATTACTAATCTAAGCTTTGTTATGCATGATGGGCTTCTCCAAACTTCCTAATATCCAAGGATTCAGGACCAATGAGCTTTTTGGTTGTTGATATACACCTAACTAATTTACAATGAACACTAGTCTCCTATGCCAAAAAAAGAATACTATTCTGCTCAAGAGTAAGTGGTGTACATATGTAACCTTGACATCACAACCTAGTGAAGGAACTAATCAGTGTGATGATGTATGAACCTGCAAAGGCCAGGATACACACACACACACACACATCAATATACACATACACAGCTGTACACAAATTTTCTGATTGTTCGTGTTGGCCAGTGGAAAATCAAGTATATTAACACACGCACGCACTACATTAAACCAAACATGCCCCCTAGGCAATTCCAGAACTCCTTTCTAACCACAAAGTTCATCTAGACATAACTGATAACACAGATCGTTGAATACTCCATCGTTGCCATTTGATGTAAGATGATTGCAAACCTAGCGGGAAGTTGCAAACCAAATTATTGTGTTCATTTAGTTTTGAAACCTCTTCCTGAGACCCCACTCTA